CTGTAGTGTAGGTCACTTTTGTCAAGTGAATGTAATTGTAAGCTGTCTATATGAAAGAATATTCATTTTTCGTTTTGATATGTAAGAAATAAAGTTAAAGAAAAAGAAAATGAATTAGTCGCTTTGCATAAACTAAAGAGATATCAGTTACGCTAGTGTAGGTAACTCGATTTGTTACACAGATTTCCATGTATATATATATATGTAAGTAAAAATTTATATAAAGTTACTCATAATAACTAAATGAATGATTGGTAGATAATTTTTTTGTGAATTTTATTGAATGATAATAGTAATCTATTTTTTTTTTGATTAACAACAAATGCAAATTAATTAATGTTAGAGATTTACATTGAGTAGAAAATACTAGATAAGATTTAAATTGACTGAGATGATTTTTATAGAAATTTATGCATTCGAGTGACCAAAATTTCGTGAATAAGACTTTCACCAATAGAATATTCGCTGATGGTCAAAGTAGGATAGCGTTTCGCAAGCTGTCACGAAATTAAATCAGTAGAGGATACAGGTGAGAGCTGAAGATAATATTGTTAGAATGTATATATATCATAGGTTATAATCATCAATCAAGTAGATAGAAGTTTTCTTAATCTATATCTAATTCACAGGCAAATTGGCGAAACTTCAGACAATGTATTTGGGAAAGTTCAGAAGATGTGTTGGTGAAAGTACAGGGTGTAAACGAAAGAAAGTTTTACTGACAAAATTCCGGACCTCCATGCATTCATTTGTTTATTCTTTGCCATATTCAGTGGAAAGCAACGTTAGCTACGTTCAATGCATTATCCAGCAAAATAACGAAGGAATAAATCATGTTGAAAAATATTATTCTACTCACTATTTATCAGAAGACTTTACAATATTTTATACTCGGGGAAGTGAAAATTTTATTTTTTTCCAGTTGATGAATGTTTGTTGCTTATTTGATATCAAATTTTTCACTTCCATTTAGAAATACAATAAAGTCTATGATGCAGTTAATCATGAAAATTTGTTCGCTTTTTAATAGTTTTAGTTTTATGTTTGTATATTTTATTAATTCAGATAAATGATAATATGAAATACAGATAGTTCATTTTTCATTGTTAAAAAGAAATACTTTGATAGAAAGTTCTACAATATATCAAATTTACTTAGATTGATAGTCAAATCAGAGTTGTAACTGATCCGAACCGAACCAGTCAGTTTTTACCAATTGACAAATATTTTATGGGTATGCCATTTTTTTTCCATAAAACTTGTAGAAAGAAAATGTGCGTGGTCTTATCAAAATAAACAACCACTATTATTTTAAAATTTATGTTTTATTTTCTTCTATTCGTTGAGATTGTTCCATTTCTTTAATCGAAGTATACTTGATTTTTAAAAGAGTACAATCAAAACTATGTTACTTGAGCTAAACATCTCATACATGTTTTGTTGAAGATGATGTGTAGGTTTGGATTGTCGTTTGAAGAAAAATATTAAGTTTGTTTGAAAAGACTGAGTGAGAAAATTCAAGATTTGAAATTCAGCAAACAGTTGATGGATAGATGACTTTTTTCCGTACTAGGTATAGATATATCACATATTCATCTGTGAGAAAACACACATCTATCAACAAATATGATATGATATTTCTTCCAACAGATTTGTCAAAACCTGAGTACAAAAAACAATGCATGTTTTAGAAGTCATTCCTGTTAACGAATTAATAATGATCCAACAAGCTAACCATTTTTTGGCGGTTTCCTTCGGCCTAAAAGATTTTTGAACCGATGGGATCGAACCAGTTCAAAAATTTTCGAATCAATATAAAAAGACGGTATGGAATGACATGTTCTTCTAAACAACATTTTCCCTGATGAACAGTTCTGTACTTCGTTGCAGTTCTTTTTGCCAATACTTTCATTCATAGTACCATCGGGAGTTAATTTTGATTAAAAATATTTTCTAAAAACAAATATGTAGTTCGATTTAACTTTTTGTGAGAAAAGATGGTTTCTGTCAAGCTTGTTGAGCGAAGGAACAATAATCAAACACACTGTAATATATATGAGTGAATTGCGTATTTATGGTATCATTTTCAAGAAACAAATTAACAAAAAACAAATTTTCGATTTTAAAGATGATGGATAGTGCATTGTAGCGAATTATATGAAAGGAAAATATGAATAAATTTTCCAGACTGCCACTATTGAATTGATCGAGACGTGAAATTCTTGAGATTTGTTAGAATCTTTGAGGGTATGCGTAGAAAACTTTCATATGCAATATTCAAGTGTAATCGTGATCTATCGTTTGATAGAGTTCGGCAACGCTCTTAGAATGATGTACAATGCATTTCTGGATCTGTCTGTGGTGCCACTTCAAGCAAAAACCTTTATGTGAGAATCAAATGTGATACCTTCCAAAAGATAGGCAGATAGAATGCGATATCTGATCTTTTTCGCTAATTTTTTAACTAAACAACTAGTAGAGTCTATAAACAGCGCACAGTGAGTTCATAGTCCTTGAAACTACGAATATATTGATATACAATGCATCGCATTTGTCTTTAGTTACTAGTAGTTTTGATTAGATCATCTCGCATAACATTTTTCGACTAATTTTCATTTTCCTCGGTAACTATGTTTTCGGACGTTGATATTTTTAATAGTAGTGAACGACAATGAATCAATGAAATGATCAAAATTTCATCTCAAACTACCACACATGTAGAGAGCTATATGTCAAACAAAACGAAAGATGCCACGTGACATTTAGCGCGACAATCAAATTTTTAAGTTTTGTTTCAAATTTTTTCTAAACAGCTCGATTTGGCGTCATTTTTCATCAATAGATAGCAGTAAGAATAAATCTCTTTAGCCTTGTGTATCTGATCTTTCGAGATTTGGTTGAGATGAATTCGTGATTTTTTATTGGTGATGAGGAGTTTTTAGAGAAGTCTAATCTGAAAAATCCATAAGGATTGATTGTCAGAAACTAGAGATATTGAACGTTTATATCTAAGAATATAAAGATACAATAAAGTTGCAATTCTTGCATGTACAGTTATACTTCCTTTTTTATGCTGAGTCATAATGAAATACTCTGAATCAAAAATACGAAGAGAGAGTGAGAGAAAATTCGAAATTTCTTTAAGTTGGTTCTTTTTACGGGTTTTTCATATGTAATATATATTTTCCAGATTTCTACACTAAAGCAAGGACATATGAAGTCAAAAACTTCATACTATTGTAGAAATTAACTTCGCGACTTCTATCAAGTCATGCAGAATTCAACGAAAGACATTTCTTTGACTATCATTTTGAACTTTCGTCACCTTATCTTGCTTGATAAGTAGACGAATCATATTCATCGATCCTATTGTATATTTACATGAGACTGCTGTAAAAAGTTTTATTATTTGTATTCTTTTTGCAGAAAAAAAAGAAAAAGTCAAATAATGAGGTTTCTATCAGACTTGACAATCATTAAGTCACAGATTCAGTTACTTGTTTCTATAATAAATAACATATTCGTTTGTTGTACTTAATGATCAATATCTGTCTCAATACAGATGCAATCAATATTTCTTATCAATGAATAATGTCCTGGATTCAAAGTTTATTCAAAGCAGTTTTAGTTTTCCAATAGTTTAATGAGGATCAGTGCACAAATTGATAATATTTAAATAGTAAACATCAAGGTTTCATGCACATAAACACTCACCATTTCTTTTTGTTAACACATAAAAGACATGATCGTTTTATTTTCATAAAAAACATCAGTTTGCAATAAATATATATTTTCCTAATCTTTATTTGACATTCAATTGATTCAATCTTCTTTTTTGTTGATAAAATTTGAAAAAAATGTCGAAGTAAAAATAATTTTAACAATAAATCCAATCTTGGTGGTCTATTGGTCGACAAGCTGGTGGACAAATATTGTTTAGATCCGGAGAACTACTAGAAGTTGTATTAATACAACATGGCCTTATACATCCAAGGAAACAATTATCAGGCACTGGTCGTTGAGAAAGAAATGGCTGACCACCCAATGTATCACAATTATAACTATCGAAAATCAATGCATGTGTTTTAACATGTTGCCAAATATTGTCCGAAAGGAATAGTTGATCACCCGCACCTTTATATTGACGAGCAATTGATGGTACGAGCATCGGTTGAAAAATATGAAATAAATAATGACGAGCACGCCCAGGAGATGCACCCCAAAGTCCACCTAACATAGCTACATTATGTTGCTTATTATCACGGACAATATGGAAGAAATACTTTTTCTGTTTATCAGATAGCCACATATCAATTGTTTCGGTTTCACGTTTCATTATAGGTGAATCAAGATCACGCGAAAGATAAAAATCAACAAATGGATCAAATATTGGTAAAAAACGCCACATTTTTCCTGGTAAATATGAAACTAATGATGAACCAAACATTGGCATGTTGTGTATATCACATATATCAACATTTGAAAAATTATAAAGAAATTCTTGTTGAGATTTTGTACTACCAGTAAAATCAATATAGAGACGAATAATCCATGATGGAAGAAGTGTTTTAACTTCATTAGCAAGTGGTATTAAAAATGGAACTATAGATGATTCCCATGCATACATTGCATTATCAGTATAATTCGATGATGAACCATAAACTGAAATACCAATAACTTTTTGATTTGGCCCACGATGATCTGATTGAATGCTGCATAATGATCGGTTCGATTGGGTAGAATTTTCATAAGAATAAATGTGACTAAATTCCGAAGAATTCAATGATTTTATGGTTACAGGAAAATAATATTGAACATTATTTATTTCCATAGGTTGACCTGTTAGGAATGATAAAAAGTCTGAATGGAAAGCAGTTGATAAAAGTGCAATAAAAAAAAGGCTTGTTAAACACAAACATCTTCGTCCATAGGGATGACGACAGTAGCAGTTGAGCATTTTTATTTGTATTCCTATCAATGTTCTTTTGCATATTATCGATGCACAAAGAATGCAATGATGTGTAACTTCAACAATGCAGGGCGTGCATTGTTTTTATATAGATGAAGTTTTACTTCGACTTATAGGATTCAATGTATAATTGATGATATATATATGTATATACGCGTCAGAGAAGGAGAAGAAAAACGTCGTTTTGAATAAACCTATATCCATCAATGTATTTACCATGTTTTTGTATTGTAGTCTTTCCTACTCACGAAATTCGAATTTTGAACTTTCTATTATTATATGCAAATACTCAATGTAATCTCTGGTAAACGATGGATATCGGTTCATTTTCTTAAAAAATGCCCATACATGTTTTATCTCTATATTGCAATGAACGATACTATAAAGTAACGTTTTATTTTTACATTGACACTAAAAAAAGTAATTATCAATATGAAAATGAATTTCTATATCTTGAGAGTAAGTCAAATATGAATCAACAAAAGAATAGTAATGCTTTTTAAAAATACTTTCATTTAGTATGTCTCATAATGAAAAATGAGAGTTCTCCATTTTATTCAGTCATTTTCAATGAAAAAAAAACGAAGCTATTGCCTTGCTGGAAACAGCAATTAAACTAACTAATAATAACATTCTGTATATTTTCTGATTTTAGTTAAAAAATTGTTAATTTTAGCGAAAAGTCGTATTCATTTATTCTTTCACTACAACTCATTTCTCGCTAGTTGATTATAAATAATTCCAAGGTGTCTATATGAAACAGTTTTCATTTTTCTTTTTGTAATGTACCCGAAATAAAATAAAATAAATATATCGACATGTTTAAATTACAGAGTCATAACTAGAGGTCTGTAGAGCGCAGTATTTTGACAACCTGTAACCTGCTTTGCTAGTATTTTAACACTCTGGCCTTTTCCGGTGAACTTTTTCGTGTATTCTATCCGACATTCTCTGAGACTATATTTTATAGCCTTTAACTTGTCCTATTTGGCTTTGTTGGTACTACAAAAAGATTCAAAATTTCGTATCAGTTTTTCAAGCAATTTCATCCAGTTTGTTTCAATCTTAAAGTATATGAAATTAACACTACATTTCTCGGAAATTTGCTAGAATTAAATTATCTTCATGAATATTCGAATTCAATGATTTTCCTTCTTTTCTTTTCAAAAATTCGACCGGATGAACTGAAAACACGTTTCGATCAGAGATGTTTATGAGAAAGTTTTTTCCGATCCGATCCGTTAATCCGGCTCGTCTAACGGGCTGAATGATTTCTTGTTCAATCCATTGGTTAATGAAAATTTGATTGATGAAATGTTTATTAATAGATTTTTTAGTTCATTCATATATTTTTTGAGGATGTTGGTGTGGATCAAGAGAAGAGCAACAAACACTACTAATGTAAGAACTATTACGAACAAGAGCATGGTGGTCCGGAATGAATAATGATATCAAGCAATGGATAAAAACCTGTACTAAATGTCAACTTACTACTTGTGGTAAAACAACAACGGAACCATTACACCCTTTAATTCCGGTGCCGGCTTTTCATCGTTGAAGTCTCGATTTTATTGGTGAATTGCCTACAACACTTAATGGTAATCGGTGGATATTAGTTGCAATGGATCATACAACAAAATGGCCAATAGTCAAAGCTGCTCAAAATGCCAAACATGAAATTATTGCTAAATTTGTGTATGAAGAAATTGTTCTTAATTTTGGTTGTCCAACAGAAATAATTACGGATTGAGGAAATAATTTTACAATGCCAATGTTAAATTCGTATTTTAAATTAATTGGTATCAAACATACTTTAACATCTGCTTATCACCCACGATCTAACAGTCTTATTGAAAGGTTTAATCGCCTATTTGGTGGTATGCTAGCTAAATATGTAGGTGATAATAATATTAATCAGTGGAATGAATATGTTAATCGTGCATTATTTGCTGGCCGAGTCCGACAACATCATGCTACTGGTAAAACACCATTTTATATGGTATATGGTGTCGAAGCAAAATTACCAGGCGATGAATTAATACCTATTATTAACGACAACGAACATAATAACATCACATCTCGTGTACAGCAATTAAATCAATTAATTCAACAACGTGATATTGTTCATCAACGTCTTAGTTCAAATGCTATCAAGATGAAAACTTATTATAATAGTCAATTGAAACATCATCATGTTGATCAATTGCAACCGAATGATTGGGTTTTAATACACAACGACAACAGAAAAAAATTCCAACCTCACTGGATTGGTCCATATAAAATTAAAAAGATTTGTCCTTTAAGAACATATCAACTTGAAGACGTCAAAGGACAAGTCAAATTCGATTTAGTACATCGTGATCTATTAAAGTGAGCTTATATCAATTCTAAACCAATACAGCAATGGTATCAACCATCTCGTCGAAGCCGAAAACATAATAATAATAATCTTATTTAAAAAGTGGGAGAGTGTTAGTGAATGAAAGCGCTGTTTAAAAAAAACGAATCTAAATGAGTCTGTTGCTAAGTGAGTGAGAGTTTCGTTGGTTTTTTTTTCGTGTTGTTTTGAAAGCAACAAATTATATAAACAGGATATTAGCTGAAGTTAACACTAATTCAATAAATTTCTGTTAATGGTAATTATACTTTATTTTACTGAAATAAATTATTAAAAAACTGAGCAAAAATAAATTAAATAATGAATCTTTTAAAACTAATTACTGAACTTTTTGAATTGTTTACTGAACTTCTTGAATTATTTACTGAGCAAAAGAATAATTTTTTACTGAAAAAGAACTATTGAACATGTGATAAAAAATTTACTGAACATTAATAATAAAATACTGAACAATTAAATACAAACCATCTTTATTTGACATTCAATTGATTCAGTTTTCTTTTCTACAGATAAAATATGAAAATAAACGTGCTAATAAAATCAACTTTTAACAATAAATCCAATTTCGATGATTTTTTGGTCGGCAAGCTGGTGGACAAATATTGTTTCGATTCTGAGAACTATGAGAAGTTGCATTGGTACAACATGGCCTTATACATCCAAGAAAACAATTATCACCTATTGGTCGTTGAGAAAGAAATGGCTGACCACCTAATATTTTGCAACTATAACTATCAAATATTAATGAATGTCTTCTAACTTTTCCCCATATATTGTCTGCAAGAAATAGTTGATCACCCGCACCTTTATATTGTCGAGCAATTGATGGTACGAGCATCGGTTGAAAAATATGAAATAAGTAACGACGAGCACGTGCAGGAGAGGCACCCCATAATCCACCTAATATAGGTACAGTATGATGCTTATTATCACGCGCAATATGGAAGAAATACTTTTTCTGTTTATCAGATAGCCACATATCAATTGTTTCGGTTTCACGCTTCATCATAGGTGAATCGAGGTCACGTGAAAGATAAAAATCAACAAATGGATCAAATATTGGTAAAAAACGCCACATTTT